GGACCAGGGCTCGAACCCGTGACCCCTGCATTGGCAGGCAGATTCTTAACCACTGCCGCTCTCCAAGTCCAGCTTCGTGAAACCCGGTCCTATCTGAACTCTTTTTTCCCCCATTTCCATCTGTGAAATTCTACCTTCACTATATTGCTACGTATATACACTCAGCATTTACACCCAATATGCAGCCACCCTGAATGGGCTTCTTCTGCTCCTTGACCCCGAAGAATATATGTATGTGTACATATGTATGTAACCCGTATGTGGCTGTGTAAGTGTGTATGTGTGTGTGTGGGGGGGGTCTTTTGTTTGGCCTACACAAGCTTTCAAGAACAAATTTAAACCATCATTTCCAAACTGGTTGATTACAATAAAAATGTAAATTTTCAGCCTCTCCTGATGAAAACCTGAAGTCCTTGCACCACTTACCTTTCGACCCACTTGGCAAGAGCTGGCTAGAGCTGAGTTGCAGCTGCTTCATGCTGATAGAGCCTTTAGTACCCAGTTCACCCCAAACTCCATCTTTCCTTATTATATCCCAACATTAAGGTGTCTTCCATTGCATAAGTGCTGCTTTTCTTTTAGAGGTGCTACAGATTTCTTTGAATGCATCTCTCTCTCTCTCTTTCTTTCTCTATCTCTCATACAATAAAACAAAACATAACGCAACCTAGGCCAGGGGGCCAGGATGCTGTTTCCCTTATACTCGGCCAGTGCTTCCGCGGGATATAATCTGCCTCCCCCTTGTGGGGTATTAGTGAGTGACCCCTGTTCCAAGGGGGATGCGTGGGTGACAGAAACAGAAGCTTTTTTTATATTTTAAATTTGAATATTTAATCATTCTTTACTAGGACAAATGAGGCACTGGCTAAGCACTTTATCTACATTGATTTATTTCATTTTCCCAACAATGAGGTGGGTTCCGTTGCTATTCCTATTTACAGATGATGTACCCAAGGCCCAGAGGCATTGAGTGCCTTGTCCAAAGTCCATGGCCGGTAAAGGTGGATCCAGGATTTGAACCCAAGTCTCTCTCAGTCCTAAGGGCCTGACTCTTAAGCACTAGGCTGAACTGCCTCTCATGTCTGACTTGCCTGTCTCCATTGGTTGCTGGCACCATGACTGGCACATTGTAAATGCTCTGTGAATGTGTGTAGCTAAGCGAGAACAGAGGACCTCGGGTCGCGGGGCGGATGGCTTGTATGCACCTGTCTCTGTTCCTGCCCTGCAGCATCAGTGGCAAGACACCTGGTACCCTAAAATCATGGAGAAAGTAGCTCTCTCTCTGTTTCCCCACAGGGAGCAGCTTTGTGGTGAGTGAAGGGAGCTACCTGGACATCTCTGACTGGTTAAACCCGGCCAAGCTGTCCCTGTATTACCAGATCAACGCCACCTCCCCATGGGTGAGGGACCTCTGCGGACAGAGGACCACGGATGCCTGTGAGCAGCTCTGCGACCCAGAAACCGGTGAGCCATGAGCAGGGCTGGGGTTGGAGGGAGGGAGGGTGTCGGCTGGAAGATGGTCTGCACTCCTTCTGCCTGAAGAATCATGGCTTCTGAGTGATTGACAAGGGGCTTTATGTAAAGGTCCATCAATCCCACTGGTGGTTAAACTATGTGCTGCCATTGCCAGACAACAAAGCAAATTCTTATAAAACCACAGCATCTCAGAAAGGACCACAGAGAACATCTAGTCCAATTTCAGCAAAGCAAAGTGTCTGAATGTCACCAGACATCCCTGAGCTTAGATCCTATCTATCAATCAATACCTTTTACTAGCTAGGTATTCTTTATCATTTTTTTTTCATCTTTATTGAAATATAATTGACATATAACATTGTGTAAGTTTAAGGTGTACAATGTGATGATTTAATACACATACAAATGATTACAGCAATAAGGTTCATTAATACTTCCATCACCTTACGTTTTTTGTGTATGTGGTGATAGCATTTAAGATCTACTCTCTTAGGAGTTTTCCACATATAATACCATATGGTTAACTCTTCACCATTCTGTACATTAGATCCCCAGAACTTTTTCACCTTAAACGGGGAGACGTTGGCTGTAGGGTACTGGGCACCTAGTACCCTACTAGGGGGTATTCTTTAGCTAGCTGGGCATTCTTTAGCAAGATACTTTCTCTCTCTGAGTACTAGAGAAGGAAAGTAGCATCTAACTCACAAGCCTGTTGTTAGGATTAAATGAGATAATGTATGGAAATCTCCTAGTATACTCATTTTTTCATTCATTTGGCAGATATTTATTGAGTAGCTGGGCACTTTTCTAGGCATTGGTGACATAGCAGTGAACAAAAAAGGCAAAATCTCTGTCCTAATTAAGTTTATATTCTACAGAGACATTAAATTTGCACTGCCTGAGAAGACAGCCACTAGCCACCTGTGGCTGTTTAAGTTTAAGTTAATTAAAATAAAATAAAAGTAAACATTTCCTCAGCCACGTTAGCCACATTTCAAGTGCTCCATAGCTAATGTGTCCAGTGGCTACCTCTTGGAGGACTCGGGGCATTACCATCATTGCAGAAAGTTCTGTGGGACAGTGCTGCAATAGACAAACAGGTAAATGTGGATATACTGTGTCAGGGGATGATAAATGCTGGGGGGGAGAGCACGAAGCATAAGGGATGCTGGGCTGGGAGTAGGGGTGGAGTTGTTATTACAGAAAGAGTGGTCAGGGAAGGCGTCTCCAAGGTGGTAACATTTGAGCCAGCACTTTAAGATGGAGACGGTGGAAGCCATGCTAACATCTGGGGGGAAAGCATTCTAGGCAGAGGGAATAGCAAGGGACAGCCTCTGCAGCAGGAGCACAGGAAGATCCCATTGATTCAGCACTAGCAGGAAGACCAGTATGGTTGGAGGGGAGAGAGAGAGAAGTTAGGATGCAAACTTGAAAAGAAGTTTGGGAAGAGGGTGGTGATGGGGGGAGGTTGGAAGGCCTTATATAGGAAAAGGACTTTGGATGTTACTCTAAGTGAGATGAGAAGCCACTGGAGGATTCTGAGCAAAGGAGCAACATGATCCGACCTACATTTTAACAGGACCACTCTGACTGCTGTGTGACTAATCAACTTAGAGGGCGTTCAAGGGCACTGTTTTTCCAGTGTAGACAGGAGTTGGTAGTGGCTGGGAACACAGGGATTAGGGGAGAAGATGGTGATAAATGATCAAATTCTAGATATATTTAGGGTGTAGACTTGACAGAACTTGTTATTGGATATGGAAGATGAGAAATAAAGAGGAGTCAAAGATGATTCCAAATCGTTCAGTCTGAACAGTGACATGACGGACTTATCATTTGTTGAGTCAGAAGCTGCTGTAGGCGGGTCAGGGCTGAGGTAAAGGGGATCAGGACTGCTATTTTGGATATTAGTTCAAGATGACTCCTAAACATCAGGTAGAGATGAAAAACAGGCATTTGAATCCAAAAGTCTTATTCAAAGAAGAGGTCTTAGCTGGAGATAGAAATTTGTGAGTCTACAACATATGGATACTATTAACCCAAAAGACACCATCTTATCTACAGTTATTGCTTAGTAAATGGACAGCATCTTACTCATAGTTGCTGCCCAATAGTTATTAATGTCCACAAACAGGGAAGTAGGAGTTAGAGAGGAGAAAAGCTTACCAAGATCACAAAGCAGGTCAGAAATGAAGCTGGTATTAGAACCCCAGTTCCCCTTCTCCCAGTCCTGTGCTCTTCCCTACAGCTCACACTGGTATACTTTTCTCTGGAATTTCACCTGCCTCTCCATTGACAAGATTCTGGCCATCTTTGCCTGAAAATCTCACTGTACTGATGCCGTGAGGAAGGCTCTGTAGAGCTGAGGAGACTCAGTGGCCCAGGTCAAGAGTTTGCTTTCTCTACCCAAATTCTCTTCTGCTTCTCCGTGGGGCAAGCAATTCGGGAGTAAGGAGAGGGATTCTCCAGGCTAACCCCTGTGTCTCTGCAGAATCAGGCAGGGATTAGGCTTTCTAATCATCATTCCCTCCTTATCCTTTAGTTGGGAGCCTATATTCAGACACATTTTTCCAGCCTTTACATAGGCCTGCTGGGGAAGCTGTTCAGAAAATGTGATGCAACTCTAGTGTACCATTGGACCAGACAGCTGAATCTCCTTTCTCTTAATTAAAACATTTAGACTTTAAGGCACTGACACCCTAAGCAGTATCCCCTTACCCCCAACACACACACACGCACGCACACGCGCACACACACACACACATACACACGCACTCAGCCCCTTAGAGTTGAAGATGTTGCTAGAATCCACTGGGTTGACCTTCTCAACTTTATCACTGATGATACTGATACCCAGAGAAGAAAGATAAAAGGAACAAAGTCACACACACAGGTGGCCGAGCCAGGATCCAAACCTAGGATCCTGCGCTCCTAACCGGTGCTTCTCAAGCCCGCAGTAGGTCTACAGTGAGGTCTGAGATTCTACTTCCCTAAAAGGCTGTCAGCTCTTGCGGATGTTTCTGACCCGAGCACTACCCTTGGTGCAGCAAGGCTCTAAACTCTCTTTCCCAAATAGTCCTCTCATGTTCTAAACGAACAGCGAGCGGCCCAGTCGCCATATTTGTTAATTCATTATTTATCCTGACAAAGTCATGCTTACTTTTGTCACTTTATCTCCTGCCTCTATTTGTCACATACCATGGGCTCTGGGTCCATTGATACCCGCACTTCCCTGAAGGCGCCGTGCCTTTTCATGCCTGCGTCCCTCTCACGGGCTGTTTTCCTCCCCCTTGAAATGTCTTTCTCCTCCTTTTACTTGGAGACCAGGGGCTCTTTTTGTTGTTGTTGTTGTTTTGTTTTGTTTCTTTGCGGTACGCGGGCCTCTCACTGCCGTGGCCTCTCCCGTCGCGGAGCACAGGCTCCGGACGCGCAGGCTCAGCGGCCAAGGCTCACGGGCCCAGCCGCTCCGCGGCATGTGGGATCTTCCCGGACCAGGGCACGAACCCGTGTCCCCTGTATCGGCAGGCGGACTCCCAACCACTGCGCCACCAGGGAAGCCCCAGGGGCTCTTTTTATTTCCATTTCATGAAGCCCAAGCATCCTTCCTCTCAGAGGCATTCATGACTCGCCACCCCCAGCCCTGACCAAATTAAGGGGTCCTCCTCTCTGCTCTCAGAGCCTCCGTGCCTCCCTGTGTTACAGTCCGTGCCCCTGAGCGGTCATTGTTCTTTCCTCGTCTGGATCTACCACCAGACTGTAAGCTTTGCTAAGGGCTGGAGAGGGGGATTCAAAGCATGTGTCTTGCTCATCTGTGTATCTTTAAAACGTATCACTATACTGACATATAATTCATTCACACAAAAAAAAAAAAAAATGAAAGGGGGAAGGAGGGAGAGAGGGAAGGAGGGAGGAAGGAAGGAAACTTCCCTTCCCATGCTCCTTGAAAAAATTGTATTCACCAATTTTCAGCTTCTTCCTGCATACCCACTTACATATAAACTCAGATTAAATATTTTCCAGCACTAGAGAAATTGGGTCACCAAGAGCTGTCCAGTAGCCAGACCAGCTAGAGAGTCTCACCCTCCCATTCAGCTACATACATTCCCAAGAACATTCCCCTTTGCATTCTCCTCTCTGCTCACATTCACAATCCTCCCACCCCCCCAAACACCCTATGTAGAGTTTTACCTTCTGACTAGAGTTCAGGCTCTTCCCTCTACCTGAAATTTCTTCTCTCCTTTAATTATCTACTTTCCAAAATTCCATTTACTTAATTACCTCTCATTTCCTCTCTGTAGAATGGATGACTTCTACAGTATTAGCAGAGTTTTCTGTTGACTAGAAACTTGCTTAAAGCATGATTTATTATTTGGAAACTGCAACGCTAAAATGTAAGCTCCTTCAAGCTTTACTACTGTATCTTATTTATCCTTCAGCAGAGCACCTTGCTCTTACAAATCACAAGACATAAATGGATGGGGTGATCTACAGATAAGGAGTGGAAATAGGAACATAAGTTCCCTGAATAGATTTTCATGGAGCTTGACTCAAACCGACTATGTAAAATTTATTTCAGTTGGTTAAATCCGTTCAAGCAGTATTTTCTTAATGCCACAAATGCATTAAGTCTTGTGTGTCAAGTGCTATGGGAAATCACAGACAAACTGGACAATGTTCCTGCCTTCACGGATTTCACATTTTTGCAGGGATAAAAATAATACGCCCCTCTATAGCTATTATAAAAGACACAGTGTAGAATAAATCAAGAACAGGCATTTATAGAGTACCTCACGCCTGGAGAAAAGGGAGAAATGTATTCTAGATGGGAATTTCAGGAGATCCATCATGGAAAAGATGACCTTTTAGCTGAGCCTTGCAGAATCAGTAGGGAGTATGAATAAAAGGTGCTTGAGCAGAGGAATCTTGACGATGGAGAAAGAGAGGAAGTAAGTCTAGAGTGATTCCCAGAACCAGAGAGCAGCATAGCT